TGAGTTGGGATAGGGATGGGCTGGGAAGGGGGTTGTGTCCCTCCTCCTAAGGGAGGGGCTAAAGGGGGCGGGATCTGAGACCCTGCCCCCTCTCTATGGATTTGTCAGGCCCCGCCCATCAAGGGAGGTAAAGGAGGTGGGGTCTGGGAGACCACACCCCTCTCCACAGAAGGTGGGGGTAGCGGCCATGCCCACATTGGGCGTGGCTTCACAACGTCCTGCCCCCACTGGCAAGACCCCCTGTGATGGGTGCCTTGTTGCCCCACCCCCTGGGGAGGGGCTAAAGGGGGCGAGGCCTAAGGGGCTCCACCCATCGGCAAGGCCTGTAGTGGGTGTGGCCTCTGGGGAGGGGCTCCACCCCCTTTGGGTGTGGCTAAAACAGGGGAGGGGCCTCCTGGTGCTCCACCCCCTGCAGAGGGGTGTGGCCCATGATGYCCTGCCCCCCTGTGGGAGGGGTTAGTTTGGGGGCGGGGTCATGTGGTGCTCCACCCCTGGGAGGGGTCAAGAGTGGAGGTCACCGTGGGGCAGGTTGAGCTGTCCCCGTGTCCCCCTCCCGTGTCCCCTTCCCGTGTCCCCTCCCTGTGTCCCGTGTCCCTCATCCCTTCCCTGGGTCCCCGTGTCCCCTGTCCCTGCGTCCCCTGTCCCTGCGTCCCCTGTCGCTGTGTCCCTTGTCCCTCATCCCTTCCCCGTATCCCCGTATCCCTGTGTCTCTTGTCCCTGTGTCTCTCATCTCTTGTCCCTTGTCCCCTCCCTTGCCCCCGTGTCGCCCCCGCCCCCGCGGGGCCCCGGCGTCCGGGCGCCGCGCTCACGCCGCCGCCGCCCCCCGCAGCCTCCGAGAAGGTGGAGGCGCTGCCGGAGCCGGCGACCCCCGAGTCGCGGGCGCGCGTGCGGCTGCGCCAGGACCTGGCCTCGCTGCCGGCCGAGCTCATCAACCAGATCGGCAACCGCTGCCACCCCAAGCTCTACGACGAGGGCGACCCCGCCGAGAAGCTCGAGCTCGTCACAGGTGTGTGTGCGAGGCCCCCGCGGCCGGGGAGGGGACACGGGGCTCCCCGGCCCCTGTGAGTGACCCCCTTYGTGTCCCCCCCAGGCACCAACGTGTACATCACGCGGGCGCAGCTGATGAACTGCCACGTGAGCGCGGGCACGCGGCACAAAGTCCTCCTCAGGAGGCTCCTGGCCTCCTTTTTTGACCGGTGAGTCCCGGCGCTGCCCCCCGGCCCTGCCCTTGTCCCCTGGGGGGCTGCACCCGGATGCCTGGGCCCTCACGGCGGCACCGTGTCCCTTTGGCAGCAACACCCTGGCCAACAGCTGCGGCACCGGCATCCGCTCGTCCAGCAACGACCCGCGGCGGAAGCCGCTGGACAGCCGGGTCCTGCACGCCGTCAAGTGTGAGTGTGACGGGGACAGCGGGGGACACCGCGGGGCGCCCCGGTTCGGGGCCCCAGGGACAGGGGACACCCCGGGGCAGGGCGCCCAAGGGACGGGTGGCATCTGGGGGGAAGGGATAGGGAGGTAGGGGACACCCTGGGGCTTTGGGACCCCAAGGAGCCATCAGAGGGTGCCAGGGAGAGGGGCCCCCCACCCAGGACGCCCAAGGGACAAGAGCCCCCCTTGGCCCCAGAGGGAACCGGTGTCATTCAGCCGCCAGCACCGGGAGCCRGGGGAGCCCAGAGAGGGAGGCCCAACCTCCCTACAAGCCACCATCGAATCCCCGCCCCGTTTCTTTACCCTTTTTTGCCTTTTTCTGGCCGTTTTGCCGCCCAGTTTACTGCCAGAACTTCGCGCCCAACTTCAAGGAGAGCGAGATGAACGCCATCGCGGCCGACATGTGCACGAACGCGCGGCGCGTCGTGCGCAAGAGCTGGATCCCCAAGCTGAAGCTGCTCAAGGCCGAGGGCGACGCCTACCCGCCCTTCATCAACGACATGGGCAAGCTGGAGGCCGACGTGTGCGCGGAGGCCGCCTTCGAGGCCGTCCCCGGCGAGGCCGAGGCGCCCGCCGAGGGGCTGCAGTGACGGCGCCGGGGCCCTCGGCGGCCCCCCCGGGTAGGGCCGGGGGCCC